CCCTGGTCAGCAGCCAGCTGTCCTGAAGCTAGCAAAGGAAACCGCAAAAGTGCTGCGTCCTATCTTACACCAAGTCCTTGATGTTTTGGCAGCGTGTACAAATGCATGTTACTGCAAATGGGTGTACATGCTTTTTCACACTTTTGCCACTCTTATCTTACAACATCAGTGAGGCAAGTTTCAGTATGTAGTTAAGCATGAAACAGCTTACATTTCACAAATGATGAGACATTTCTGAATCATTTGCATTTTTTTATAGTTTAGCCTTACCCTCTGTTTTGGCAGATATTCATCACTGCCTTGTGTGTAAATTGTGAAAGATTATTCATTTCTGTACTTCACCCACCTTCTAATCTGATTTTGTGCTTTCGTGCTTGTTTCATGCTAATGAGAGATCTCTATCTTTTGATGTGGTTGTAATTTTGCTGTCAAAGTGTGAAGTTTTGCTGATGATTTCACTACCAGACACTTTTTTTTTGGTCTTTGGTCATTTTACTGTAATTGAGAGCAATCATGTCCCATTTTTGCCCTGTCTGCTGCCAAAAACCCAGATGATGGGTTTTTGATATCTTTAATGATATCTTTGAGTTTGCTAAGTCAATACATAGTAATATGAGTGTGATTGAATCGTTTTAATGACATTAAATCCTATATTGTGTCATATATTATCTTTCAATGGCAGATTGGGGTGGTGGGAATGAATTTGGGGTCAGCAATTGCAGGCTTACTAAATGTTTTTTAAAGGGTAATGAATGAATGAGGTTCATATTCATATTTTAAAGTTTACCCTTTAGAAGTTTGGAAACATGCCATATATACACACACACACACACACACACACACACACACACACACACACACACACATATATATATATATATATATATATATATATATATTATGGCAAGCCAAACAGGAAATATTTAATGAACATTGATATATATGGAATGAACATTTATATATATACAATGAACTTTGATATTTATGGAATGAACATTGATATATATTGAATGAACCTTGATGTACATGGATCGAACATTTAGATGAAATAATGAATAATATAATTCATAAAATGTTTTGTTTAGACAGAGAGGGACTTTTGGGGTTGTGTGTGTTGTAGCCTTGTACCCCCCCCAAACAGACTGTTTACATTGTTATTTCATGTTGCTATGTTGTTCTTCTTCAGTTAAAGTGTGTGTATGTGTTTGCTCTGTTATTTTGTGTCCAGCTCAGAGTTAGGGAGAGTGTGTTTGGTGACCCTCAGAAGAAAGAGTAGGGCTAGGAGTGACCTACCTCAATTTTCAGTTGCTTTTCAAGTGGCATTGTTTCCTTTGCTCTCAGTAAAAGAGCATTTTCAGACAGAAATTATGGCCTCATCTCACTCTTCTTCTGCACCATGTCAAATTATGTATATATTGAAACTCCACCCATCTGTGTCTTCACATCATATATCAGCCACTCTCAGGTCACTCTGTCCACGGGATCACTGTGTATAGATACTGGTCACTTTATCAGAATTCCCTTCCTTTAAGCTCCACCTGGAGTTTGTTAATGCCCATTTATTGATGTACAGTTTTTCTTGGCCATCCTCAACCCTTCAACAGTGACTTTCATTCAATATATATCAATGTTCAATCCATATATATATCAACGTTCATTGTATATATATCAATGTTCATTCCATATATATCAATGTTCATTCCATGTATATCAATGTTCATTGTATATATATCAAAGTTCATTGTATATAAATCATTTTTTGTCAAATTATCTGTCTTGAGATTTGATCTCCAATTTTGAAAGATGATAAATTGTGGATGTTAATTTTATTGTAATTTTTATTTCTGATGTTAGACTGATACATTTCTCTTTAGTTTTAGAATTGTTATTTTATATACATGTATTATTTCTTCATTTTTAGTTTTAGCTTCAGAGTTACTACTAATTATTTGAAACCAGTGATGTTTAGTTTTTTATTTTTTGTGTGTTTTAAAACACTGGGCCTCATTCACCAACCGTTCTTGAGAAGCAATTACATGTTAAAAACCACTTCTGAATTTTTTAATGAAGATTCTGACATTCCTTTGATGGAAATTTCACAGTAATTCCAAATCTTTGAATACTTGTCTATAGATCAATGGGTTCAAAGTCAGAGTTGAAAACACATTTGGGACTTTTAACTGACTTGAGCTTTATACTACAATTGTTTTGTTTTAAGTGACCCTAAACCTTAATTATGCTTATTTTATTACAACAAATGATTGAACATTCCATTTTGTCACTAACAAAAGAAGCATAACGCTACACTCTTAAAAAGATGAATCTCCAGGGGTCTTTAGTAAAGACAATGGTCGTGAGCCATGAATGTACATGCTTAAATTATTTTTTGCATTGCAAAGTGGTTCTTAAGACTGATGGACTGATGGTTCTGTATAAAACCTTTTTGAAAATGGCTTTTTATAGCACCAAAAAGTGTTCTTCTATTGTTATAAGTTTGCCATCACAACAATAGCAGAACCCTTTTTGGTGCTATATAGAGCCATTCTCAAAAAGGTTCTATTTACAACCTTATACAACATGTATGCAAAATTGCCAGCACTATTATTCAATATTTCAAAAAATTTCAAGAATCTGCAACCAAATTGGTTTTATGATTTTGAAAACATTGATTCCAAACTGTTGGACAGTGATTCCCAAATCTTTGAATACAAGTGTATATGGATCATTCCTCCGAATGGTTCTTCAGATGGACTCTCCATCAATCTGAGGAACCATTTCACCATGCAATGAACCATTTAAGCATGCATATGGGTTTGAGTGTTCATGGTTCTGTATAGAACCCCTGTCTATACTGAAGAATCCATTTTGTAGTTTAAGGTTGGTTTAATTTATGTTTTAGTTCATTGTCCTGTAATATTCAGCCTCTTTTCTTCTTCTTCAGAATTTGCTGATATTTAGTGGAATCCTTTCTTCTATCCCCACATTCCCTCAACCAGATGATGTTTGTCCATAGACACTGCACAGTGTGCCACTGAATCACTATTCCTGTGCTAGCCAAATCCTTCTGTAGGTCCATGGCAGTGATGTGGGGGTTCTGCTTTGCATACCTAACCAATCTACAAGCATATTTTTCAGAGATTATTATTGGTTTTCCTGATCTTGCCTTGATTCCATAGTTCTTCTTAACTTTTATTTCTTATTGCCATTTCAGACAGTGAAAATTACAGGCAGAAAGTGTTTAGATATCTCTTATTATCTTCTTCTGCTTTGTAAGAGTCAATTATCTTTAGTTTCAGATCCTCAGTGAGCCTGTTAGATTAGCCCATGGCTGTTGAGTGTAAGCATTACATCTTGAGAGGTTTGAAGCATATATTATTATATATATATATATATATATATATATATATATAGTAGATCGACCGAAAGGGTGTCCAAACTTTTTTGTTAAAGGTTCTATATATGACATTTTAAACATTAATATGGCAGCAAACAACTATTTTCTATGTAAAGATATAGTGGAGTAGAGGCGCCCTGATCAGAGAACGGTCACACTGCCTCTGTGTGTGTGTCGTAATCTGAGCTTCTCTGTGTTTTGTTTCGGTCATGCATGCATGTTAGTCCTGCCCTGTGAAAACTTTGGCCTTCCCCACATTTTCTTTTTGTTCCTCCCAAAGAGACAAAGACAGTGAGCGCCCACACAGCATTGTGCATGCAAGACTGTGGAGTGCAATAGGAAACATTCAGGTGAAAGTGAGCTTCCACATATTCCTCCTCTGAATATTCCTCAAAGCTGATGAGGCAGAAGTTGGCTTCCTATGCAAATTTTACTATTCTACCTTAAATCGTGCAGCAGTTCCTTTCTGCGCCCGAGGTGCCCGAATATAACTGCTGCACCATTTAAGGTGGAACGGGAAAATTCTAACAAGAAACTGGTGAATAGGGATCTGACTTCAGCTTCATAAAGAGAGTTAAAAGGCATGAAAAGGGATGAGGAGGATGCTCTGTTTCTGTTTGATAGGTCGGTAACATTAACTTATTTTGCTGTTTAACAGAACCAATACATAAGTAAGTTTTATCCCGTTTGCTGATGTTTGTGATAGCAACTGGTTAGCTTCACAAAGCAGCAACTGTAGTGACAGTTTGCTAACCTACAACCTATTAACATTAGCTACATTACTGCGTCTTTGTTCACTCTAATGTTATGTCAGGGTGTTTGTCTGTACAACATTTGCAAGGTACTTTAAGGCCCCAGAATCTAAAAAATAGTTGTCATTTGACCAGGGGTGCCCTATTTTTGGCATATAACTGTATGTGTTTTGCAAAACCAGAATTCAGCAACCACCCAGAGTCCTCAGTTTGTCAGTACAGGTAATTATTGTGGAAATAATTGTAATTGTAACTGGCTTGTTATGAATGTGTAGGTTAGACTGAAAACAGTGGAGTATACTTTTAATGAGACAGTTTTTCACTCGCAGATGAAGTCTTATTACATTGTCTTTGAGATTCTCCATTGAGTGTGTGTTTTAACCTTGAACAGGACTTAAATCAGAGTCCAGAAACCTTCCCCAATTTATCACACAAATCAAAAAGATTAGCTCTTTAATATAGATTATCTTTGAATTAGACTCACATAATAGAAACATGCCACCCAGTACATCAATCCTAATTTAGAATTTATTAGATTGTTTTGTTTAGATATGAACAGAATATGTTTTGATAAAATAAAACTGTAATGAGCTGCAGAAAACATAAAGAGGTAATAATGTTGCATGAGGCAGTTGTCAAAAAATTAAAAAAAAAAACACAGCAGGTTTAAAAAAATAAAAATTTAATTTAATACAGTGCAGGACATAATGATCAAGTGAACTGCTTGCTCATGTTTCATGTGCAATACAATCTAGAAAAATAAAACTTACTTTGACCAAATCTAGAAATGCTTAAATTCAATAAAAATCTGAAACATAATATGTATACACAGATTTATAAATTATTGAAATGGAAAAAAAAATAAATAACAATTGCAAGGCACAGAGTTTTGCAAAGACAGTGCAGTAGATGAACATACACTGCTACAGCCATTACTACAACAGAGACATCAAAAAATTTAGGAATCAGTGCCAGTTGAGTTGTCTGTGATTTAGGTTTTCAATTTCAACCCAAAACTTTAAAAAAACATTATTTAGAAGTGCTGAAGTGACTCCAGGAAGCCTTCATTCCATCTTTTATTTTAAGAGATGGGTTAAAAACTCTGGAGTTAAATGGCTACAGACATCCAGGCTGCAACCAAATACAGAGGTATTGAAATGATTTTTTACATGATGTTGTTGCTACAATACTTGGCTTCTTCTTGGAATCTCTCAATTTTCTGCTTCACTTTGTCAGCCAGGCTGTGCAGGTTTGCCCTAATAAGAATGGCTGGGAGGTCAGTCAGCTGCTGTTCTGAAGCCGTACTGAGCCAAGACCGCAACGCCCCGTCATTCACGTCTAATTTAAGAATGCGATAAAGGCGCTGCAGGCGGCGCTGTTTCTGCTGGGCGAACAGCTCTGAAAGGAGAGGCTTGATGAGGGTGGGCCAGCCTGAGGGAGATCAAAAACATCTCAGTAACATATCAAACCAGCCTGAGGTAGATCAAAAACATTATAGGAACATCAAAACAGTCAGAGGGAGACTAAAAACATTAAACCACCCTGAAGGAAACCAAGAACACCTCATTACCTATCACACCTGCCTGAAGGAGACCAAAGATATTTAAGTAACATTAAACCACTTTGAAGGAAACCAAGAACATCTCATTAACACATCAAACCTGTCTCAAGTAGATCAAAAACATCTTAGGAACATCAAAACAGTCAGAAGGACACTAAATACATCTTAGTAACATCAAACCACCCTGAAGGAAACCAAGAACACCTCATTACCTATCACACCTGCCTGAAGGAGACCAAAGACATTAAAGTAACATTAAACCAGCCTGAAGGAAACCAAGAACACCTCAGCATAATATCAAACGTGCCTGAAGAACATCAACATACACCATATTGAACGCACACTGGAAGCACAGCTAACGGTGATACTAGTAAAGATATGGGCTGCTATTACAAAAATCAAAGAGATACTAGAAAAGCAATTTGAAAATAGAGAAAAAAATCACTCAAAAGAAGAACCAAAGTACTTTTGGCTAAGTAGACTATTCTGGCATTAACTCTGCTCCACCACAAAAAGCATCTTACTTGTACATGTTTTGTACTTGAACTCTAAACTCTAAGGAGTTCTAATAAATGACACTGGAACAGTCTCCTTGAAGCTTAGTGTTTCTGGGCGTTTCTGATCAGTGGTCCTTACCTTCTGTTGTGATGTTGTTGCAAGTAACACACACGTTGTCGTGCCAGTTGGTCCCGTGGATCACCAGCTTCTCATCACCCTTGCAGGCTGTGTGTGGGGTGCACTCTGTGATGCCTGAAGCTCCATTTGCATAGTGACCATTTCTGCATGGCTCACACTCTGTATCTTTGTATGGGGTTCCTGCACACAAAACAGTCCATTAGGAATCCAGCAAAAACTGTTCCAACTCACAACATGCACACCTAAACAGAGTAGAATTAGCTTTGAGAGTAGAACTGACTTTAACAGCACAGTTGGCTCTGAGAGTAGAATTCACTTCGACAGTAGAATTGACTATAAAAAGTAAGTAGAAAGTAGAATTGACTCTGAAGGTAAAACTAGGTAGGACAGTAACCAGCTCTGACAGTTGTGAGTTTTGTAAGTACCTTTGTTTTTGATCCATTGTCCAGCGGAACACACCGTGTGCTTCTTGCAGAAGTGTGATAGCCAGTAGTATCCCTCCTTGCACTGACACACGCGGTTCTGGGAGGGCACGCATGACTGTGTCTCCTCCTGGTTGAGGGCGCACAGGTCACAGGGCAGGCACTCGGGGATGTAGTTCCAGAACTCGGTGTAAAATCCTGCGCTGCAGGGGCGACAGTCTGTGGGGCGCGTGTCTGTGCAGTGGGCATGCAGGTGAGTGCCCGGAGGACAGCGATCACAGATCACCTTTTTACCTGACGGGAGCACACGCTCGTACGTGTTGCCGTTTGCTGATACGAAGAGAAGGAGAGGCAATGCCACGAAAAGGAGCTGCAGACAAACAAACAAAGGTGTTCAGGTGTTTGGAGCCGTCTTACACCAAACACAAGCAAAAGAGCTGTTGCTATACAATCTGAAGGAGACCAAAAATATCTCAGTTCATGCAAACTCTAGGCTACATACAGTGGCTCCAAAGAGTATTTGGACATTTGTGTGATACTTAAAAATGTATTAGGTTCACTGTTTTCACACTAAGAGTCACCAGTCTGAATTTGTGCTAAAAACGTTTCTTTTTCTCTCATTTTGTTTAACATTTTATGAAGTAACCTAAAGAGTTTTGTTAAAATTTACCAAAAGTTAAAATTGTCCCAATGCTTTATGAGACCACTGCACTTTATTCCTGCAGCCACATTACCACACATAATATAACCACACAGTAGTGTTTAGCACAGAATAAAACCAGATTTATGTAAAATTGTGAAATAGTGAAACAGTAACTGAAGTAGCTTAAAAAAAGGAAAAATTATTGTATGAATTTAAATGTGCCACACATTTCTGACAAAGTTAGCAGACAGACTTTGCTACCATAACATAAAATGCAGTTTATTTAAAGCCGATATATATTTAGAAGAACCCAACTGGTTCACTTTTAAGCAACAGAACACAAGACAGAAGCTGCGTCCAAAAACCTCATATTTCTGTACTGGATATACTAAACTAATGAATGGACTTCTAATGGCAGCATACTAGTTTTAGCATTTTATTTACTATGGTAGTATGTGCTTAGAGTGCTCTATTGCTTTTTAAGCAACTATTCGACAAAATAAAGAACAAAGTAAAGCAGAAAATTCTGGCAAATCCTTCTGCCAAATACCTTTGCATTACAGTTAGAGCCATAACACTGTCACAATATCAGGTTCAGCTCAGCTTTTTCTATATGTGCCAGTTTAACCTGAACATTGTTTTGTTCCAGATAGTCTGTAAAGCATTTTACAGTCTTGTTTTCCTTGTTATCTTTTGTAGATAATTCCAGTTTGAATTATGCAGTTCTAGTGGAAAAAACATGCTCTTAGGACAAAACAGTAGCTCAACCAATCAGACTGCACCATCGGAACTCAGTCGGAACTTAATCTCAAATGGCTCCATACTACATACTATGTTGTGCACTAGGTAGGTAACAAAATAACTGCTTCAACTCCCCAAATAGCACATTATATGTCTAACAGTACAGCTATTTAAGTTTGGTCGAAGTGGTACGGCTCCCCTAACTATCATTCAGTGCACTACGTAGGTGCAGAAGCCATAGTTTCATGGCTAGTGCACTACATAGATTTGGGATTCAGCCTTACTAAGTCAGGCACGAATGATGCGTTTGGTCTCAAAGTTCTACAGTGAGAGCATTAAAGCAGAGAAGGAGCTGAAGCAGCAGAACAAAAGTGATATTAATGATAATAACAATAATAAATGCTAATAATTACAATAATTTTACTTAAAGTGCACTTTTTTATACCAGCAGCAGCTCAAAGTGCTTTACAGACATGTAACATGAGTTACAGGTGAGCGATATGGCAAAAATGTAACAAATACAAGGTGCAATACGTCGCAATTTTTATTTTTTTTAAGTCATCCGATCAGTTAGAACTGAGAAAAAAGAACCAGTAGTGCTACATTTGAAAAATATACTATCAAAAGCTGTGAATACAGTGATTTTTCTTTCTATATTAACCAAACTGTGCACTAAATCCAGTTAAACGGGACTAATTTTGCTCTCTTTCGAATGAAACATGTAGCTGATACAGATTTACACACGGCCGAGAAGCGCAGTCAGGAAAGCAGAAGCTGGTTATTAACCTACCTTCACACAATCGCTCTCACAACAGACACAGCAAAGCGCGAGCGTCGAGCTCTCTCTGCTCCTCTTGCGCTCTGCGTTAGAGCGCGTGCAGGGAGACACTAACTCACACACACATACACACACGCACACACACTGAGCGGTCTGTCGTAACACAGACTGAGAGCGAATCAGCAGCAGCAGCGTCTCTTACCCCGGTGATGGTCATTGTGCTGATCTCTGTCTCTCTGCTTTGGTGCTTCTGCTCTCTCTCTACTGGGCTTAAATTCTCTCTCTCCATCTCTCTCTCTGACGTAAGCGCTTTTTCCCGCCCTGGGGGAACCCACAGCGCGTCTTCGCTCACGTTCCATTTACGGTACGGGACAGAACCGGAGTGACGTCACCGGCCTCCGTTCAAGCGCTGTCTATCAGCCTGCATTAACAGCGCGGCTGTTTTTCTTTCTTTTCCTCTTCTCCTTTTCTTGTAAACGGCGGTGAGGTTCAGTAAGGCTGTCTGTATGTCGGTCTGTCTTCATTCTCTCTTTTCTGTCATTTCTCAGTGAGGTGGGAAATCAAATTCACCTCAAAAAAAAAGGGGGTGGGGTGGGGGGATGGGGGGGCTGTTACAGTTTGACAGCCCGTAGCTGGACAAGCATGTGACGTGAGTGACATTTTATCATCCAAATTCTATGTGTGTTGACACTTTCTGTCAGTTTTTCCGCCCAAGCACTGTCAGTGGGTGTTAATGTCTAATATTAATAGAAGATTTGTAATGATGGAAAATATCTGTTTTTTTTTTTTCCTTTCTTTCTTTCTTTGTTTATTTTGCCCTGTTTTATCTTACTCAAGCACATTCATACTCAATACTGTACAGGTAAGAGATGGAGGAGCAGATATGAAATTTCTAAACTGGCATAAAACATTAAATTATGTGTTTAATTTGGCATGCGCACTTTAGGTCTGGAAAAAGGAACTGGTCCCTTTTCTCTTTCCTCATGAGGCACAGTAAGGGTCCAGTCCACTGAAGGGGAGAGCGTGGCATGGCTGAACACATTTTGTTTTTTGTGAAGTATTTTAATGTGAAATAATTTTTTCAAGATTTAAGTTGGAATAATCATATTTTTAAACGAGCAACATTTACATCTCTGCTACAAACGATTTCTTGAACTTTGCTTGTAGCCCCTACCGTTCATGTACAATTCTACAGAAAATGACAGGAAGTGCAGTGTTACAATTTTCCCCATGGATGGATCAACTGTGGCAGACAGAGGGTCAGTTTAACACTTGCTAGAAAAGTCTGATTATTTAGTATAAAGAAAGTTATTTCAATGTGATTCTATGTGGTAAAAAACAAATATATTTTTCCAAACAAACTGCATAATATATTATCTATCTAACAGACAGACAGACAGCTCAACTGACAGATACACATGAAATTATATATAAAAACTGACATGATACTGTGTGTCAAACAATGACAAAATCTAGTGAAGGACAGCAAATAAAAACATCACACATTAATAAAATATGGAACACTTTGAGAATAACTACAGTTTTACCAACTGTTAAAGTCAATTTCATTAATATGCTTATTCAAACCCAAACTATGAACATCTGAAAGATACTAATAAAGTAGATTAAAAATATTACTTACATGCCCTAAAACCATTAATCGGCACAGACATGTTTAAAACACTGACAAATCACTCTGATTTTTGGTGGGAGAGTGGGGCTAGGCCCAATGTGGCCAAAACCACATGCCGCTTGACCTTCTATAACAACATAAAAAGTCAGTGTTAAATTGTGCCTCACGTTAGGTTGTTGCTTGCGATCCCCTAGATATGGCAATAACATTCATACCTGACCTGGAGATCGGCCTAAAGTTCAGTTATTAATCTAGACTTAATGCTCAGTTATTAGTCTTATGTCTTACTATTCAGTAGCTGCCACCACTCTAGTGGTGCTATGAGGAAGTATAAGGCACAAACCCAGCGGTCACTGATATCTTGGTCTTACACAAGATGTCCTGAGACATTTTCTTGTGTCAAGACTTCTGAAGAACATCTTAAGACGTACGAGTGAACACACGAAAGTTAACGTCATGAGACAAGGACATAATTATTCTGTGCGTCTTAAGGCGAAGCTTCACTTTACCTTAAGACATAGACATGATGTGTCTTAAGGCAGTTCAGTTGAGACCAAAAAGTGGTCCCGTACCAAATGTCCTGTGGTATGAGTGTGGTATCCCTGTTGTACTGCTGAACTAAAAACTATAACCACAGCACTGGATTACCACAGCGCTCCCTAATGTAAAATATAAGCCACATTTCTTGAATTTCCTGCTGTAAATACTCACTAAGACTTTACTTGCTGTATTTTTCTGAAGTGCAATTGATTTTTGTGGTAGATTATTAAAGAAGTGTGCTTAGTATAGCAAAAGAAAAAAAAAATCAGCTCATAAACAATGTACTGTACCTGAACATGTTTAAGATCATTTTGTTTTGTCACAGTAGAATAGCATTTCATTTACATCTTAAGACATCTGGGAGATTATTATGGTCAAGACATCTTAAGAGTAGATGTGTTTATAGGCATGCCTTAAAGCCATGTCTCCATTTCTTAAGGCGTGACTCAAGATGTTTTAATACTTCTTCGTAAGTGTGTCTTCAGATGTGTCTCAAGATCTCAGTCATAGTGGTAGCTTGGATGGTGATAGATGTACAGATACAGTTTTTTCCTCTCAAGCACTGGTCTGAGCGAGCACTTGCAATACAGCGCTGTGACGATGCTTTCATACATTTGCTGCCCATCAAAACAAGTTATTCATTGTTTAGGAAGCACATTTCCAATAGAGAATGACACAGAAGCCTCATCAATTTACTGTAACATTACATTCATCAGTACTCAGTACTTTCAGCTTCTATTCTTGGAGGGAGACCCGCTGTCTGTTTTTCAAAGAAATCTGAAAGAATGTCCCAAGGTTTCCTCCAAAGTTCAGTCTTAGAAGTTGGTTACACTCTCTGCTTCTCATGATCCAAGTAATCCCAATTATAAATGTACACTACATTAGTCCATAAAACCTTTCACGTCTCAGATGTTCCGTTTTGGTGGTCAACCAGGTCTTCCAGATAGTTGGTAGGAGTTCTATGTTCTCTACAACTTTTAATACTATTTTGAACTTTTGGAGACTCCTGTTTTTTTCTATTTTTTACTTTGACTTCACGCAAGTGGAAGTTATCTTACATCTAATCTCCTCAGAAATATCTCCTTTAGCCATTTTAGAGGCACAAGATAAAGAAGTTTGTGTTGTGATTGCCAGTACAACTAGATATTAAGACAGTAGCTAGTTAGTATGGCAGTATGTTCGGACTGAAGCGAACACGTCTAAGCAAAGCTCCGTCTGATGACTCATAACACCAACTGCCACAATCTGGTCTAAGAAATTAGTAATGAGCTTCATTATGTGACTATATCCTTTCATTGCTTAATGCATCCATGTCCTACATTTGTAGTGTGAACGGTATGTTTAGAAATTTTAAGAATGTTTACATACTACATCAAACTCTTATTTCAAAGAAATTATACATACTTTAAACTACATAGTAGGTGGTGCTGTCACCTCACAAGAAGAAGGGCCTGGGTCCGATCCCCCAGCCGGGCGACGTTTCTGTGTGGAATTTGCATGTTCTCTCCGTGTATGCGCGGCTTTCTTCCCACAGTCCATAGACATGATATCAGGTCAGTTGGAGATGCTAAATTGCCCCTAGGTGTGTCTGTGTGTCTGCCCTGCCCTGTGTGTGTGTATATGCATATTTCTAATTAAAACATTCTAATTAGAAAGGTTTTTATTACACATTTATTATCAATATAATAACTGAAAAGTAGAATCTGTGAAATTTCTAAATGAATTAAAGGATTTCTTAGTATTTGATATGTCCTTCTTTGCTTTAATGACAGTATGCACTCGAGCTGGACTCAAGTTTGTGGAAAAGCCTCTGATGAGCAAACCAAACATTCCTGAGAGTTGTCTGGACACAAGCTTTATTGCAAGAGATCTGATCTATTTGTACAAAGGCCTAACATGGTCAGTGTCTCAAATTAGCTTAAATTTGAATAGTAACCAAGAAATGGTGCAAGGTCTTGAATATTTCTTCTTCATTTTGCCATAAACACTTTTAGTCCTTCAGATCTGCTTCAGTCTTCTTAATTATAGAATATGTTGGCCCACATATGGACACCTATAGGCTTTATGAGGTGAATGAGTTTGATACCATTGAAACCAGTCATTCACTGAGCTGAAGCTGAAACAGCACTATGTCATGACGTGAGAAGTGAGTAAGGCCGCATCAGAGCAGCTGATGGAGAAGTTTTAGAATGTCCAAGTCAAATCCAACGTTAAAACAAACATCCTTAAATGAATGAGCCTGAAATCAAGTGCCAGAGATTGATAGGAAACATTTACCAGACACAGATTACAGTTAAAGGAGGTACAGTCCACTATTGAGCAAAGGGAAATATCAGATCACTGCTGGTGCACGTCTATTATAATGCCTATTTATCTAATACTGATTATTGCTTATCAAACCACAGTGGAAAACCTCTCAGACAAATAAAGGTGTGGTGAGGGTTCACCCAGCATGTTTTTAGGGTGTTATTTGACAAGAATGACAAAGCATGTGCGGGGGAGTCCTGAGTGCCAGTTTCTGTTTTTGACTGAATAAGATGGTTGAGATAGTATTTATGGAAGTCTCTGTTTGTGCACTTGTGTGTTTGTGTGCTTACCTGAGTTTTTTTACAGTGTGACTGCGACTCATTAACTTATGCGAGTCATTGCTGTCAGCTGTTCCATTTTCAGAGCACTGTGTGTACTTAGCACAATTTCGTGATGACTAATGTACCCTATGCTGTGGTTCAAAACAAGTCACTAAATGAGTTACGTTATCTTTAGCTTACAAAAGACATGTGCAGCCCCCAAAGTCAGTAAACATCTGCCTCTCCACCTGCTATGGTTTCATTTTTTCAGAGGTGTTACACAACAGCTAGAGTAAAGAACTGTGTAGTAAGTTTCGGTAGTTTCAGAAGAGTTTTATGAGATTCAGTGTGGAAACTGCTGGTACCACTACTACTACTGGTAGCTGTGCCTGGTTCTCAACTGAACTGACCACTATGTTTAACTCTGTATGAGATGATACACACACAGAGTAATTGTAACTTCTACATGTATGTAATACACACACTGTCAGGCACGTGGGAAGATGTTTCAAGAAGGATGGGCTGCCAACTGAATGGAAAATGATAACAGTGATGACATTGTTTCATTGTTTTTTTGTTTATTTTTAT